GCTGGAGGCGGAGAGCAGGCTGGGCTCCGGCATCCCCCTCACCCAGAACTCCCACCAATCAGGTCATAGGGAGCTCAGCATCCTCCGACGCCCGCACCCGCCCACTCCCACATGAATGTGATGGGGACAGACAGCGGGCAGACGTGTGACTCGGCCCACGGGACCTGCAAAGCCCCCGCCCTCAGTCTGGGGCTGGGACTCAGGCGTCCAGGTCCAGGGGAGGGGAACCAGAAGCAGGCTTTGGCCCCAGTGTATGTCCCCAGGCGCTGTCTGCAGACTCACTGCAGAGCACAGGCCTTGGGGAGGGAAGCTCAGGGGCCTGGGCCCTGCCTCTCCGGACAGCCCTCTTCCACCCCCACCCAGCTGGGGATGTTGCATTAACAAACACCTAGACCCAGGACCCCTGCCTGGGAAGCGGGAGAGGACACCAGTCACCTCTGAGTCAGGGCCTGGTGAGTTCCAGGAGGCTGTCCCCAGCCTAGGGGCCTCTCTGGCACCCCCTCCCTGGCTCTAGCGCTGGGCCCCGCTTTTATTTCCCAGCTATTCCCCCAGAAAGGGTTGATTTCAGGGCAGGGAATGGGTTATCCAGGAGAATCTGCAGGTAGGCTACATCCTAGATCCCTCTAAGTTGCCACACCCAGGGGGAGGCCGGGACACTTCTGGCATTCTTTGCCTTCTCTTCCTCCCCTAAGGTGCCCCCTCCCCACCTGCTTGTGCTGGTTATGTAATTAACCCAGCTGAGGCTCTCTGCCATGCTGACAGTGTCCAGGGATGCCTGAGAAGCCCAGGTCCCTGGAGGGACTTATGGGGAGGAGGGGCTGGTACTTCCCCCAGTCGGGAGCTTACAGAAATAGAGAAGCACTTGTTGGGAAGCGACACTGCATGGGACAGGAAGGAGATGAGAGTCTTAGTCTTAGCTGACAGCTCAACTGGCTGTGTGATCTTCACATCCCTAAATCTGTGGGGGGTTTTTTGGTTTTGTTTTCACCTTCAATAATATGGGGAGAATTGCACACACACACACACACACACACACACACACACACACACACACACACACACACTCTCTCTCTCTCTACATGTACGTGAGCAACAGTGCAGTAGTGCAGAGTGACCCATCTGGGATGGCTAGGAGGTTCCATTGTGATCGATGAGTGAAGGACCCCTGTGCATAACAATGGCCACTGTTTATTGAACACCTACTCCGGCCTCACAACACCCTATGACGTTCCTTGCCGAAGATCACACTTTAGGTGAGTGGCAGAGCGGAGAATCCAATGCTGGTGGATCTCACTCCAGATCCTGCCGTTGGTTTACTATGCTGTATGTGCACATGCCCTGCGGATTGGGTCCTCTGAACCAGGACGGACTGGACTGAGGGACATTCTGCTGTGAGCTGTACATATGTGGAAAGGGCATGCATCCACAGAGAAAACACGCATATGTGCTGGAAAGCATGGCCCCATCCAAACCCAGCAAACCCATCTGCCTTGGACCCATTTAGCAGGCACTGGTGTCACCCTCCTGGGAATAGTCCCCAAACAGGAGGTCTCAGGCACGTACCAGCCTCCCTGGCCACCATCCTCAACAGAAAGAGAAGGCAGCTGGCTAAGAGGTTTACTTGGATTATTTCAGGAGTAGAGGCTAACGATCCTCCTTTAGAATTGTGCAGTGGCTCAGATCAGGCACTTGATTTGCCTCTGACCCACAGCCAGGAGACATCAGAGCTGGGATTTATACCCATGCTCTAAAGTCACTGAAACTGAGCAAGAAGGAGCTAACGAATCCATGTCAAGGTTCAATCCCGTAGCAGCCCCTTCCCGGGCACCTGCTGCATGCCAGGTCCTCTGAGCTCAGGGCGTTGCCAGATAATCAGACCCAGCCCTTGGCCTGTGGCCTATGCCAGCTAGAATCACTCAACTTGGAAGCTGCAGTACTGCAACACTGCAAAAAGGAGCAGCCGCCTTTCCCAGCTGTGTGCCTGGGCCGCGTCTCCCTCCCTCTGGGTCTTCTCTCCAAAGTGGGGATACTGTATCGACTAAGGATAAGCACGTGGGCATGCTGACTTAGAGTAACTGCTCCACAGGTGTCACGGTCCAGAGCCAAAGTCATGGGCCAATCCAGGGCTTCTCAGCAGGGGGTGCTTGGGAAGGTGGGGGGAGCGCATTTTGGGTCATCATGGTCACTAGAGGCTGCTGCTGGCAAGTACCCCCAGGCAGCTGGGGATGTGAAATGCCCTGCTCGATAAAGAATTCTGTCTCCACAAAATGCCAGGACTGCCTCCACGGAGACGCACTGGCCTGGTCTCACTCCTGAGGACCAGGGGACCAAGGCTGCGAGGCGCTGCTGTCTTGCCCCGGGCTCAATGGGAAGCTGGGACTCGAAGCCAAGTCTAATGCACTTTCCACTCCGCTCTGCGGCCTGCCCGGGTCTGGGAGTCAGACCGGCCAAAAGTCAGGTCATGATACAGGTCAAGAAAGCTTGATTCCCACTGATGGGATGGACGGCAGGGAGAATGGAGAAGGAAGGATGGGGAGGCTCTGGACAGATGGGATCGGGGCTCTGGGGTAACAGCTCCAGTGACGTTCCCCAAGGTAGAAAAGTACAGGATATGTCCAAGGAGAAGCCAGCCCCACCAAGCCCACCTCTTGTTTCCACAGTCCAGGTGGAGGCCGCAGAGGGCCCAGGGCAAGCAGGGGCAGCGATGATTGGTCCTGACGGTGGCTGAGCCCCCAGCCCCTGGAATATGCAGCCCGGGGGAGCCCCAGGCAGCGGCGAGGACGAGGTGGCGGAGCGGGGCGGGAGGCATGGTCTCCACCTACCGGGTGGCCGTGCTGGGGGCGCGAGGCGTGGGCAAGAGTGCCATCGTGCGCCAGTTCCTGTACAACGAGTTCAGCGAGGTCTGCGTGCCCACCACCGCCCGCCGCCTCTACCTGCCTGCTGTCGTCATGAACGGCCACGTGCACGACCTCCAGATCCTCGACTTCCCGCCCATCAGCGCCTTCCCTGTCAATACGCTGCAGGTAGGGGGGTGGGGGGTGGGGGACAGGGTGGAGGAGAGCCTGGACCCCAACCCTCTCCTGGCTCCGGCCCTATTGCTGGCTTTGAGGACTCCGCGCTGCACCATGGGCTGCCCTACTTAGAGCCGTGCCAGGAATCCATTCATTTGTGCACTGGTTTATTCAACAAATATTTGATGAATGTCTAATGTGTACCAGGCCCTGTGGTGGGCACTGGGTTAGAATGGTGCTCAAAACAGAGCTGTTTGCTCTCAAGGAACTCATAGTCTGGTGAGAAGACAAACAGTCAACTATTACATAGTTCCATGAGTGTCATGATTGCAGGGGATGCGGGAACTAAGACAGCCCCGAAGGGGCATCTGCCCCACGAAGGTGTGTGAGGGTGGGGGTCACAGGAGGTGATGTCTCAGCTAGGTAGGATCTGGGCAGATAAGGGGCAGTGGAGAGAAAGGCACAGAGCGCCGGATGCCTGTTAACATTCTGGGCGCTGCCTCCCATGGCCTCAGACCCACGTCATCTGTAGAAGGGACAACAGAAGAAAAGGCTGGGACCTGGGAAAGGTGTGTTCTCAGAGATTGGGGACCCCAATCAGATCTCTTGCCCAAGGGCCTTTTCTCTTAAGTGATGCTTTGTCCCCTGACCTCAGGACTGGCCCTCGGGGCGGCCTTTCCTGCAGGGGTTGGATTCAGATGCCCGCAGTGCCCTGGCTTACAGGGTCCAGCCTGCAGAACCAGGTCCTTCCTGCTCTCTACCTCTGGCTTGAGCGGGGGTCGGGTGCAGGGGGAAGCTGAGCCCTAGACATGTTGGCTCACCAAAGAAGCCCCTGACCAGAGCGCAGAGTTTCTCCAGGAAGGCTAGGCACGGTGGAGGCCCGGAGGGCAGGGGCCACGGCTTGGCCAGTTGTAACTGTGCAAATACAGCGATCTCTCGGGTGGAGCTGGAGGCTGGGGAAGGGCTCAGGCTCAGCACTGTGTCAGCAACTCCGGGCAGGAGGACCTTCGCCCAACCTCGGGGACACCTGTCTCTCCCATCCTAGGTGTGGGAGCATCAGCACCAAAGACAAAAGCCTGATCCACACATCACGCCTTGGAAACAGTGAGGTCAGGGCAGTGGGTCCAAGGTCAGGTGTTCTATTTCTCCTCCAGAGGAGACTAACTAGCCTGAGTGGATGCTCAGATCCTGCTCTGGTCCTGCATTGAGCTGGGTTTATTTTTCACATTTTGTTGTGTGTTTAAATTGTAATTTCGATTTTGGAATCGGGAAGATACAATTTAAAAGCCCAAACTTTGTTAGAACAAACAAACAAAAAGTACACCCAAAGAAATCTCAGTCCCACCCCTGCTCCCTTTACCCCAGTTCTTGCCTCATTCTATAGCCATTCTCATTGGTTTTTTTAATTCACACTTCCAGTTTTTCTTTACACAAATAAGAGAATGTATTCTTATTCCACTCCCCTTCTTGCATTAAAAAAAAAAACAAAAAACAAAACTGTTCTGCACCTTTTGTTTGTTTGTTTGGGGTTTTTCTTTGTTTGTTTTTTTGGCTTGACATTTTATTTATTTATTTTTTATTTATTTTTTTTTTTGCGGTACGCGGGCTCTCACTGTTGTGGCCTCTCCCGTTTTGGAGCACAGGCTCCATGGCCATGGCTCACAGGCCCAGCCGCTCCGCGGCACGTGGGATCTTCCTGGACCGGGCCACGAACCCGTGTCCCCTGCATCGGCAGGCGGACTCTCAACCACTGCGCCACCAGGGAAGCCCCTGGCTTGACATTTTAACCTGGAGGTCTTTCCATGTCAGTATCTAGAGGTCTTCTTCATTCTTTTTTCATGGCTACACTGTATTCCATTGGAAAGATGTACTATGAAGTCCCCTCTTGTTGGACAAGTGGGTTGTTTCCAAACTTTTGCTTCAAAACAATGCCACAGTGAACAGCCTTGTAATAGTCATTTTGTACACAGGAAGGCAGATCTGTGGGATCGATTTCTGGAAATGGCATTGCTAGGGCAAAGGATAAATGCAACTGGAGTTTGGAAGGTGCCAGATTCCACCCCCACCCCCTCCATTAAGGTGCATAGTTTGTGCTGTGAGGGATGTTACATGAGTGCTTGTTTCCCTAAAGCCATCAGAGTGTATTGTCAAACTTTTGGATTTTTTGTTTTTGTTTTTTTTGTTTTTTTGCACTACGCGGGCCTCTCACTGTTGTGGCCTCTCCCCCGTTGCGGAGCACAGGCTCCGGATGCGCAGGCTGAGCGGCCATGGCCCGCGGGCCCAGCCGCTTCGCAGCATGTGGGATCTTCCCGGACCGGGGCACGAACCTGTGTCCCCTGCATCGGCAGGCGGACTCTCAACCACTGCGCCACCAGGGAAGCCCAAACTTTTGGATTTTTGACAGTCTGATAGATGAGATAGGATAATCTCAGTGTACCTTTTATTTACATCTCTGCTCATGAGTGAAGTTGAGCACCTTTTCATATGTTTGAGGGCCTTTGCCTTCCTTTTTCTGAAAACTATTAATGCCTTTGCCCATCTTTCTGTTGGATCATTGGCCTTTTTCTTCCTGATTGACCCTGAGTTTTGGACTCTCCAAGGATGTCCAAGACTTCACCCCTGAAGCACAAGAAAGGGACTTTGAGCAAAGAAATGCTGAGACAGGATCCTGCATGCCCCAAAGATCAAACAGTAGAATCCCACTGGTTACTGTCTGAAAATAAGAATACATTCTTCCCCAGTGCCAGATGAGATCCAGCCCAGGAGAGCGGCGCTTCTAGGGTCGTCTCTTCTGCAGCCTTTCTCCTCCTATCAGAGAAGGAAGCTGAGGTTAGGGGGCGTGTGCAACCCACTCCAAGGAACGAGCAGCAAATGCATGGTTGGCACCCAGGTGGCTGAGGCTCCCTCAGCTGCTGTGTCCTTGGAACTGGACTCAGTTTCCATTGCTCCTTCTCTGTCTTGATACAGCTCCAAGATGGTCTTTTACCATCTGGAATGATGCATGGAGCTAGCTGGAAGGCAAGCTGAGCTTTCTTACTCCCTCCCTTCAATCAGGGGTGAAGGGGCAACCCAGCCAATCGGGAGCCTTCTTCCTCTCCCTTTTAGGAGCCCCCAGAGAGGAGTGGGTGGGAGGCAGCCTGGAGGCCCCCTTGAGGAGGTAGCATGTTGGGATAGAGGTGCGGCTGTCCCCCTCGAAGGCTGGCAGCTGTTCCCTCTCCCCAGCAGAGAGCTGGAAGAATGTGGGAGCCTCTCTGCCTATTTCCCCATCCCTCCCACTTCCTGC